AAAAAAAAAAAAAAATTAAACATCCAGAAAGACAGCGTGGTCAGTCAAGAGGTGGCCTGACTCAAACTCTGAAGGTGGCAGGGGAGGGAGCCATGCAGGCCCGAGTAGTTGTGGGTGAACAAAGAGAGGGAGTTGACAGTGGAAGGAGACATGGAAGCATGGTCTTTGTCAGATACCAGGTCCAGCTCTCGATCTTTCTGTCCTGCCCTATGTCTACCACACAAAATGACACCAAGAGCACATGACCTGAGCAAGTGCCCCCACTTCTCCAAGGCGGGGGCCACAGCCTGCTCACTCCTGGGCACCCAGCATGCAACGTGTACTGCAAAAATGTTGCTTCAGTAGATGGTTGCTGAATGACTGAATAAATGAATGTGTGCGGCTCTGGATGTCCCCCAGAACAGGACCAGGGATGGAGGCCCAGAGGCTGTGGCTTTGGTCTGGGTGGGGATAGGGCTGGCAAAGGGCTGGGAACTCGCAGTAATTCACTCAGAAAGAGAGACAGAAGGAGTGGGCAGTTGACAGCAGGAGTGGCCCCCAACAACTTCTTGTGGCAGAAAAATCCGATAACAACGATGAACTAGGTACAATCACACACACTACGATCACTGAGTGAGGGATTCAGACAGGCAAAGGAGACACAGCAGAGACGCTACCAGGGATGGAGCAGGAACCCTCGGACACCAGGCTCCTCTTTGCAATGCCCTGTCTGGCCCCTGCCAGCTTGGCTCAACCGCACAGTGAAAAGATTAGCAGCACTGGAAAGAAACGGATGGAACTGTGAGGTAGCCGGACGCCAGGGACCAAGCCTTACAATTCAGGTGCCTGGACCAGGCCCCTTGGGGTCGGTCAGAGCATCATGACTCTAGGACTAAGTCAATCCATGAGCTAACCAATCCCAGCGTTGTCCCCAGAAGAACACGTGGCAGGGACGAAAAAAATCACGCAAATGCAAAGAAAACCAAGTGAAACCTCTAGAAACTAAACCAACGGTAACTCTAGTACTGCAGCAATTTCTGTGGAGATGGGAGAGGCAAGGTGGCATGGAGGACCCCCAGTGAGGAGCCAGAGCTGGGACTGAAGCGGGGCCAGGATGTGGCACCTGCCTGACACGGCTCATACACAGGAATGGTAGTGCTGTACCCAGGGAGGGGAAGAAGCCCCCTACGCATCACTGGGTGGGGACTGATGACATCGTGGCTGCTACATCTGTACAGGGGTTATTACACAGCAGCTAAGAGGGTGACCAGGATCCACGAGGACACGTGGGAGAAGAGCCAGGAAAGAAATAAGGTATGGATGGAATGTCCTGCCTCTATTTCTGACCAAAAAAAGGGGGTAGAGGCTGGGCACAGTGGCTCATGCCTATAATCCCAGCACTTTGGGAGGCCAAGAGGGGAGGATCACTTGAGTCCAAGAGTTTGAGGAGATGAACCTGGGCAACATGGCAAAACCCCATCTCTCTAAAAATAAAAAATTTAGCTGAGCATGGTCGTGCACACCTGTAGTCCCAGCTACTAGGGAGGCTGAGGTAAGAGGATTGCTTGAGCCTGTGAGCTGCAGTGAGCCCTGATCGTACCACTTCTCTCTGGCCTGGGCGACAGAGTGAGACCCTGTCTCAAAAAAAAGAGAAAAAAAGAGACCACTGTGGTGGCTCATGCCTGTTATCCCAGCACTTTGGGAGGTGAGGCGGGTGGATCACGAGGTCAGGAATTCAAGACCAGCCTGACCAACATGGTGAAACCCCATCACTACTAACAATACAAAAATTAGCTGGGTGTGATGGTGTGTGCCTGTAATCCCAGCTACTTGGGAGGCTGAGGCACGAGAATTGCTTGAACCCAGGAGGCAGAGGTTGCAGTGAGCTGAGATCATGCCACTGCACTCCAGCCTGGCGACAGAGTAAGACTCCATCTCAAAAAAAAAAAAGAAAAAAAAGAAAAAGAAAAAAAATGGGTAGAGGGCTAGAGTTTCTGTTCTTAGAATATCTCTGGAAGGAAACAAAGAAACGGGTCACAGCATCCCCTATGGGACAGGGTTGAGA